CCTGCTGCATAAAGGAATGACGATGATGAAGATCTGAAGAATTGCCACACGATTTGCCCTGTTAATTTTTACAGACCGTTCTCGGAGATAATAATCGATTAACAAGACTTCTCTATGAACAGACAGCCAGGGATGTTGCAAAAGGAACAAGGTGTTAACGACAAGGAAACGAAGCTGCCGGCTAAACTCTTTCGCCTTGCCCAGTTGCTCTTCGATTCCACGTGGTATGCAAATGTCCCGTCTTCCGACTGGAGTTCCGCCCTCCGTGATATGTAATGAACTAGGGTGGATTTCTCTCCACAATGAATGTTATTGCTTTATTACGAATTAGGGTTTCGTGTTGCTCCCAGCCACTTCTTTGTGTTCGCCCATATCACATGCAACCTGGCCAGTGATTTTTTGCGACTTAACTTAAATACGAAAAAACTTAATTATTACTTTCCTTTTAAATTACAGCCTTTCTCATAACTCCGTAAAATATTCAAATTACTGAATAATTTGTACTTGTGGCACCACTGTTCTTTTTTTTTTGGGAATTTATTTTTCAACAGTTTACTAGGGTGATTGCGCTATCTGTTTCCGTTGGCTGACATTAGGAATTGCTTTAGCTGTACAGCGAAGCCACGGATTTACCGTATTATGGACGTGAAATTAAAGGAAGGCCGATAGAGGTTGGAGCTGATTACGAACCAACTCGGTGCGATGAAGTTGAAGATCTGTATGAATTGCTTGCTTTCATTAAGCGGAAGCATCCCGCAATTCAAGGTAATTGTTTTTGAAAAAAAAAAAAAAAAGATTCACTTTTTGAGCGACAATTCGAAATATTGTCCGAACCAGAGCCCTTCTCATCCCTGCACAAATTTTACTAGCACAAGCTTCCCTGTTAGGGCTAAAATGCCCCGTCGAAATTTACTAATCAGGAAAAATCTTACCAATGGAAGCACTAGTATGTCACTAATACAGCCAACATCGGTGATATAGCCAACGTGGCATAGCCAACATCGATGATGCTACTTTTCGAGTCACTGAAGCCGACATCTACAACTGACATGCTTTACAGCTGCACAGTTAACTTCCTGAACTTCGAGGGCCAGTATATCACAAATCTAAGCTACTGTGATTTCTTTCTATCTTACTACAGCACAAAATAGTGCGAAAACGCATGATCGCACCGGCCCGTCTGATACGTCCCAGCCTGGGTTTGTTCACTGTGTGGTTATTTTGACCAGTGTCACCTGGCCTGATGGTCAGCGTCCTGGCGATTCCGGCGTTCTTTTCGTCTTTCAAAGAGATTACCGACTTAGTTTCTTTCCCAGCACACTTTGACAAGTTTTACTTGTTCCGAAACACGATTTTGTAAACCGATTGTGACAACCAGATTGACCCTGGAAGCGTAAATAGCGAGGGTACAGCATGAGAGAAGATGAGAATGAGATAAGACGCTTCGGTCCATTAAGTCGTATAAATTTTGGAAGCTCAGAAGTAGCGAGCGGATATGCTTTGGAATCTCTGCGCTCAGCTTTCCCCCTCTTCATTTCCCATCCTTTGCCTATACTTTACCTTCTCCCCGCCCCGCTCCCCCTCCCTCTCCAGTCGTTTGCATACTCGACTTAATTCCTTGCATAATTTTACGAGAATGTTTTTTCAGCTGTCTCCAGTGGTGCAATTTTGAGTAGCTATCAAAAAAATCGTATTGAAAATGTTTGCCAAAGGCTGAATTTGCAATCCCTCACTTACCTGTGGAACTTGGACCAGGCGTTCCTCTTCGATCAGATCATTTCGTCCGGCATTGAAGCAATTGTGGTTAAAGTTGCAGCGCTTGGATTATCCAAGAATCATCTCGGAAAACCATTAAAAGAGGTAAGTCCAAATTATCTTCACTTTGTACTGACCCCCTCTCTTTCGACGAAACGTATTGAAGAAACGTGTCAAAACCTTCTATGATTCATTTATTCATTGTTGGCACTGGCGCGTTCAGGAGAATCAAAATTGCCATTCTTGCGATTCCGAATAGTCCCTGTAGCTGCGGCCATCAAAAGTTTTGTCGGTAGATGGTTGCTGTTCATATGTACTGTCGTCTAAGTTACTTACGAATGCTTCTAAGACAGTGAAATGTGAAGAGAAATTTGACTGTTTTGAATAAATCACTGAAAATGAACTGCCAATGAACGCTCTTTTTATTCTGTATGGTTTTTCCCTTCAAAAATGCACCGCCAATTTTTTAGAATGGAAAAAAATCATCTTTCGCAATTTTAGATGAGAAGTATCCTGCTCGACCTGAACAATCGTTATGGTGTTCACATTTGCGGCGAAGGAGGCGAATATGAAACATTTGTTTTGGATTGCCCGCTTTTCAAAAAAAAGATTGTCCTGGATGAAGCAACAGTCGTGGATCATTCCGTGGACGATTTTGCGCCGGTCGCTTACTTATCGCTTTGTAAGCTACATCTGGAGAATAAATGCTCCTAGTACTCTGAAAACGAGGGTTTTTAGAATTTCTACACTGACATCTGTAACTCACCAACATCCACACTTCCTGTTAAAAAATCCACTTCCAAAAAACTTTTTCGAGCCAAACAAGTATGCAACGGAAATTTGCTGTGGAACTGCAGAAGCAGGAAGCGAAACATACTAAATTTGTTCTACAACAAATGTTATGCCAGTGCGTATAAGCCTGCACATGTAGCAAACTGAAATCAGATGGAATTTTCAAAAATTTGAGTAAAAACGAAAATCGTTCCCGCAACAAAAAGAGTCAATTTCAAACAAAAAATTTTTCTTCAAAAATTTAGATTGCTCGGAAAAATCGCTCTACTTTTCTACGCTTTTCAGGCCATTTTCTTCTTTGACATTGGCTAGTAATAATATCAAAGATCCAACAGAATGCCCCGTTGACAATGATCACAGTTTATGCATCAATACATTTTGAAAATTATACCAACAAAACAATCCACATGACTTGTTTATGAGCAAAACGAAAGAATTTGATAGTGAAATGAAGTG